TTTCTTCAACTGCGACAATATTCTTAATAATAATAATAATAATCTTTAACTGCGATATATCTCTTCGTTTATTCAGTTTATGGAGCAAAAATGACATTCGACGATGTTCACCGATCGCGGATGAAGCGACGCAACGAAAACAGATTTACCCGGGCCAAATCAATTTCAGCGCAGTAATAGCTTCATCCAAACTTAAATATAGTCATAGGCGGTTAAAGATGGCGATCGATTGGGAGCGCAGCGGCGTATCAATCCCTTTTGCTATTAACGCATAAAGCCCGAATGCAGCTCCGGTGACCTGAATTCCTAGACAGCGATTGCAATTGAACCGGTGAGTGATTAACTAACGCGTCGGTTTCACGACGACGACGACGACGACTACGACGTCGTCGTCGTCAGTTCAGTCAGTTCGTCGACGACGATATTTGCAATTTATTCCGAGCCGGATCCTGATGGTGTTTAATTGTACGATCCCCCGCCGTAACTCGCGTAGTACGCGTCAAGGAACGAGCTATCAAAGTTAGAACGGTCTACTGCCGCGAGAGAAGTAAGAAGGGACCTTTGAGATTCCGCCACGCGGAGCCGGCTCATTACAGTTCCTGTATCGGGGAGAAACCTACCGTGTCACAGGTTCCATTACTGTAACGGCTTAGATCGTGCTGACATTCGCAAAGCAGTCTCCGTATGTAAAGGACTGATATATCCTATTGACAAGCCTCTGCGAGGTCGGCTTTATCGCCGATATCGACCGGAGCGCGATTTCACGTAATGAATGTCTGCAAGAAACATTACCGAGAGAGGAAGCTATATATTTCGTGTATAATTTCGAGCATACAAATTACACAGTAATATGGAAATATATACAAGTTAAAACAACAATATGTATGTGAAAGGGAGAGAAGAGCAGAAGAAACTGTTGGTGAGAAAAAAAAATTCGTCCCGTTAATCGCGAGTTCGTGAAAATTATTATTATGTGTTTCGATGTTTGCGCGACGCTTAATATAAACGGAGAAAACCGGAGAAGTTTTGCGCTCTCTTGATGCGCCGTCGCGATCCATAATTCATAATGACGCTGAACGGCCGATGTCGACATTTCTTCTTGAGCAAATTTAATCGGGAGGATTTAGCGGAATTTTCAATAAACTTTATATTGTAAATATTTCAAAGGATTTTACTTTACTGGCGATATATAGAGTATATATGTTATATGTATTTGCCTTTATTTGAATTTTACTTGTTGTTTGCTTGGAAAGATCTTGAAAGTTTAATAGAAAAGTGTTCTTGGTTTTTGATTGAAATTGTATACGTAAAAAGTATATGCATGTGGCACATTAATTTATCCGCACATTATTAATTACTTTTTCAAGAATCAATTGGACATTTTGCTCATCATTTAGCTTGTTAGACAAACATCGCGATATACGAGAGGTAAATATCCGAAACGACGCATCATTAGACAGCAGTATCACATTGCCGTCAACGTTCATCTTTCGGAAGAAATGTCAAACGCTGGCTCATTATCGCGCGTAATGTTTGCGTGACAGCTCGCCAAAGTAGACGCTTTCAGCGATTTTTGAAAATGCGCCAGCTCACACTTCAACTGTTGCGGTGAACAAAATTTACGAGTCGGATTTCGAATTGCTATCTCATTCGTCTTATTCGTCAAATATGATCTCGTGCGATTTTTCCATTTATTTTCAAATCTGAAAAAACGGCTCGATGGAAAGAAATTTTCGAGCAACAATGAAGTCGTCGATACCGTTAAATGAGGTTACATGGCGAGATGTCAACGACAATAAAAATGTGATACTATTACTGTTATTTATGCGTCGTTCGGATACTTATCAATTCTCCTTATAATGCGCGTCCTAAAAAACGTCAGGCGCACGCAAAATATTTAAAGCATCGTTGCGAAACGACTATTGATTAGTAATAGGGAGGAGGAGAGGCAGTTAACTCGTCTCTAAAACTCTCATTTGTCCGTACGAAAAACCAATTTTGCGAATTGATTTTTCGTTGTACGCCAAACGCAGAATCGTTTATCCAACACTTTTTTTCTAAAAAAAAAAAAAAGCGTGACATTTTGTCCATTCGCTTTGCACAGTTGTGCAGATAATTTGTTGTTGCTGTAGCTACAGGGATTCTCTCGCAAATTCTCGCGTATATGAAGTTGTTAAAAAATTTTTCGAGTAGCAGAGGTACATTATTTCTTGCGGGGATGATGCACCGAATTTCCCTTTTTCATGGGCGCACAAAAATAACAAAACGGGATGATATAGATTCTCTTCTTGTCAGACGCTTCCGCGAGTTTATGTGTACCCAGAATTTTCGACGGTTATTGAACAAGGCCTCGCGAAATGCGAAATGGAATGCTGACGCGGTGCTCGCAAACCGCTTTTTCGATGCTAGTGCATTTCGCTGTATTTCATTCAGAACGTTAACGATTTCCCAACGAAAACAAGATGGTGCTAGCACTGCGACAAAACAATCTTTAACTTTCGCGACTGGTGCTTTCTCATCTTTTTTTCGGTAGGGAACGAATTGCAACGTGTGATTTACGTTCAAAAAAAAAAAAAAACACAAACTGCCGCAGGTATCATCATTAAACCCGCGTAATTTTCATCGTATATTTAATTGTAAACTAGTTCTTTTAATCGAACAACAAAATTAACGCTGATCAGATTAGCGAACATAATGAGAGATCGGCCGAATTAACAAATAAAGTACGAGAGTAACGAGAAAATTAATTTAATTCAATCAATGAGGTGGATTAATAACGAGCTTACGTTGGAATTATATTTTTTTGTTTGGACGCGCGTGCGACATATTATCTTTTAACGAGCAAACGTAATCAGCTATTCAGTCGTGATGAATTAATTGTACACAAATAATAAATAACAAATCAATGTGAGCGATCGAATGGCGTTAAATTAACACTCGTAAACCGATTCAATTATTTGCGGTTTCGCCGTTACCTCGGTCATAAATTGCGAAATACATAAAACACGGAGTCACGCGCGCGCGTACCAAGTTTTCACCGAATCACTCTCCGAGAAGATGCAACATTTGGAGAGAGATGCTACTTGTAATGTTATACATAATTTACCATCATTACGACGCGCGGGTCTAACGGCATAAAGTATGACTGCGAATTACCGCGAAGAATTAAGACGGGAAGGGAAAATTAAGGTAGCGCCCCTGCGCGTAGCCAAGTGCTACTTTCGTTAATTGGTAAATACGTCACCAGGAATATATATGCGATTCAAGCCTCACGTTACTTATAACCGTATTCAGCGAAAACAGATATTTTGCGGATATTTTGAGGATTAAATATAAAAAACAATAATTAAAATAATGTTGAATTTTTATAAAGTTATAGTGAGCAGCAAAAATCAGTAAAATCAATACGCGTGTGCGATATAATAAATAACACTTTGATATTACACACAAACACACATGTGGTATAAAAATATAATTCATATAAATATCCAGTATGTAAAATTACATTAAATGTAATATATAAACGATTTCAAGCAGATTAAAATTTAGAATATCTAACAAATATGCAAACGCTCACCTGTATTTCGTCCAATTGCAAATAGCCAAATGCTGGAACGAAGCTTTTGTCTGTGAGCGCGGATCTCGTGGATTAATTAATCACGTGCTTGTTTTATATATACATTTGGGCACTGAATTCCGCTAATATTTTATCAATTAGTATCTGTATCCGATACGATCCATTATGCGCTTTTGATGATCCTTTTGCTTCTCGCAAAGTTGTTCCCCGGCACGAGTTTCCATAATACTACCAATCGCGAACGGCACGTTTTCACACAGTTCCACACACAGCTTTGCATAATTATATCGGGATTAACCGCATCACACGGTTCGTATTCGATTTTAAAATATCGTTTTTAATTAGCTCCGCGCGATAAAGCTCTTTGTCGGTTCTTTAACGTGTATCATTCATTTTCACGTACTATTCTATTATTTTATCTTACGTTTATTTTTTAACGCCTTAGTTTAATGCAGCGTCTGATTCATCGTTGATTAAAAAGAAAAAACGTGTGAAAAGCTTTGGTTGTGTCTTCCTCGGAAGATCGAAATGTTTGATAATGGAAGGGTGACCCTCTCTTCACACCCATGCCAAGTTTCCACGTTTATAATTGGTCGGTAAGAGCTTCCGATCGTTATTGTTATCCCCGCAGAACCGAGTCGTGAATGCAATTTGGCTGGTAGGTAATTTCCATGGAAACTTTAGCCATAAGATAGTGTGCAGTCCAAAGAGAAGAAGGAGACAAACCGCGCGATATGTATCGAATGAGCGCGATATTACATTATGGTACGTATAAATGTTATGTATAAATAGAATTTTATATTTAATATGACAATTTTTTAATCATTAATTATAGACATATTTTAAAGTTTGAACTGTATATTTTATTTTTAATTACTTTTTGGAAACTTTAAAATGCGCGCGTGAAATTGAACTGAAAAAGGCACACTGTGAAGAAAATAAGTTGGAAAAAAGTTTGGAGACGAAAAAAATGCCGCTTTTTAAATTTAATCGATATTGTTGCCAAACTTTTCAATCATTATTATCGCACGTCCCAATCGAGTTTCTAACGCAATTTAAGCGGGAAGTTGCGCGAGAAGTTGGCGGACGGAAAATGAAGGGAGTGCGGGGGAGGAAGATTGGTGAAGGGCTCGCAGGCATGATGGGGAATGAAAGAGGCGACAGTGAGAGAGAGAGAGAGAGAGAGAGAAAGAAAAAGAGAGAGACAGAGAGAGAGAGAGAGAGAGAGAGAGATGCGTCGTATCTTAAATTTACTTCGAGCACCTCGCCGCTGTTTTCCGATAATGGCAAACGCGCGACCGGACGCCGGCGTTTCTTTGGCGCGAATCGCGACCGGGAGAGCACGACGTCGGAAATTATGTTTGCATAATTTTCAATCTCGTGGTAGAACCCTCGGGCGTATCAACCAAGACTTGCCACGTACCAGAGTATTGCGTCGATCTCCGTACAATTATCATGAGTGATTGATAACCGGTTGCTCCCTCATCAACCGAAAATCGCGACCTAGTTTATTATTTGAAATTATGGATGTGCGACACGAATTAAATGCTACTAATTGTCACTCACGCGTAATTAAACACATCTCCCCGTCATAGGAATGACAACCGGTCACGCGATTACGACGTACAACAAATGTTTCATCACGATTAACTCCGGCTTGTACCTCCCGGAGTTTTACACGAATCGGCTGTGATTTCCTCGGAACTTGTGTCGCGCACAGAGGGGTAGTTCTCGTCGTTCCCGACGATGACGACGACACGGTACGGAGAAGTCGACCGAGCCCTCGCTACTCTCGCACTGCGCGCCCTCGATCCCACTTCTTAAGCACGGACCGGGGGAGCGAAGGGCATCGCGTCGCGAATTGCACTGACACTCGCAGATTCTCCGTTTCCCGCAGAAGCTTCCACTACGACCCCTTTCCCCACCCGGGTGCGAACTCTTACCCTCTTCCAACCCCCCGCGAGCCGTGGCTTTTAGCGCAAGCGCTTGTGCTTTTCCGCGGACTGCGTCCTATCCTAATTCACGTCGGCGTAAGTACGGTTCTGTTCCACCCACGCGGGACGTCAAAAACTTTTCCTTTTCGTTTTTTGAGATTTCGATAAATTGTGTGAGCGAAAATTCTTTATTTTTTTTTACCCACACGGTCTTCCCCTTCGAACGATCGCGTATCCAAATTATTAATGATTTCGAAGATGATTCATCGTTCGCGATATCGAGTGCGAAATTTTTAAATAAAAGAAATCTTGAATAAACTAAAAAAAAAAAATAACTGATCGTAACATCCATGTGATAAATATTATTTTTGAATTAAAAAAATTTATTTATTTAAAAACTCTGGTTAAAAAATCGGGCTTTTGCGCTAAAAAGAACAAAATGTGAACTGCGCATATTTACTTTTTTATATTTCGTTTAATCTTGTGTTTGATATGCAAACACAAAATTGTCGAAGTCTCACCGAGTATTTATTCGCTCGTCCAAAGGATATAGTGTATGAATTGTGTACACAATGATTGATATAAAATCAGAAGCGCATTGCGAACTGTAATTGATAATATATCGCTAAAGTAAATTAACGCGAACGATTGAGAATCGTTCGCGTTTGTTCGACACAATTTCACAGCAGCTGAACGCGTATTGACCGCTGAAATATTTACGAGAGTTTACAGCGGTAATACGCGATGAAAATAACATGTCCAATGACTTCTCTGATTTTTAATTCATCGTTAAGTATCATCATGACGTTACGTTTGTTCTGAATAATTTTGTTTACGACGAGAAGTTTCTGACACTTCTCTGACACGTTGCACGATTTGTGTTACGATTTGTGTCTCTTAGAGTATTGTGTGGATGGAAATATCCGCTCTCACAGACGTTCGCGTCTACGGTCTACAGGGTCCGCCACTTAAATCCGGACAAATTTGAATTTGACATTCCCATCATATTAGAATGCAGCAGTAGGTGCCATATGACCTAAAGATAGGTTAGAGACGTCGATAAGACATTAATAATCTTAAAATGGCCGAGTCGTTCAGGAAGACGCCGGAATATAATCGAAGAGCGGCGGTTATTGAAAGTGTTCGCGCCGGAAGAACGCCAAACNAAATTATTAAGTTCTTCGGATACCCCAGGTTGACGGTGTATGATATTGTCCAGAGATACGCGGCCTCGGAGGAGTCCAAGGAGGGTTCTTGTACTCCGGCGAGAAAAATACATGTAAGGGAGAAGGCGATACGGACTCCGGAACTCATTAAAAGAGCACAAGAC